GAAGTGGCAATAGTCGACACCTGATCTTTTAGGAGACCTTTGCAGTTTAAGAATGTAAATGTATACCGTAAGCGCAGCGGGTTTTGTTGGCCTGTCGAAGGCGTTTTGTGTATTCTCCATAAGTTTCGAACAAACTTAGGCCGTACTCCAGAGCAAAAAGCCTTTTCCGAATTGTGTATTAGAATCATTATTTAACAGACCAATGAAGGTGAATTGAATAATTTCTGCTTTCAAGACCAGGTAATTTGATAGACACGGAAAGCACTTCTTGACCGCAACCTATGGTTTGTATATACGTTCATTTACATAATTTCCACGGTCACCAGTTGTTCTGAAATTCATTTATTTGTCCGCAATATAAAAGTAAAGTACCTACAGAATCCCGCCCTGGTCCCACAAGGTGGAATCTTTCGGGAATGCCGATTAACTGGCATTTTTTGCTTTCCTGTAGTTCGGTTTCATAAATAGGGCAGATAATAATTTGGAAAGATTTATTCATTGTCTATGCACAGACATTCAAAAGCTAATGCATAGTTCAGCGGGTTTCAGATCGCTTAAGGAGATAAAACAACTGACATGTTAATACAGTCCATGAGACTAGCAGTTTACGAATACACATTTTGATAATGAATGTGTTACTGTATAAGATTGGACAGCGAACTAATGTTCTTGGCAGGAATACGTCACATCGAATCACGTATTTTATTTATGACTGGTGGTAGTTTTGTTTTATTATTCGAAGTAGTTTTTAATACTCACAATCGGAACTGGTGAGGAACACTCGGTCAATCTAACAAGTTCTTCTTAGGCCTCTGATAGGCTTGTTCATTCAAAATCCATACAAGCTATTCGTTCGGCGTCTCACTAACAGATCTCACACTTTCATCTTGTCTTTTCATCATGCTTTTTGCTAAATGGACGACTTCAGTTCCTATATTCGCTCTAAGTGAGCGTACTGTTGGTGGTAAAGAATCCACCGGTAAAAATACCTTGCAGTTGTCGTTGCTTTGATTACATCCGTCAACGAGGTTCCCGTTCCCAACGGGGTTCTCATTTGTCGGTAGTGACCAGATCGTGCTTTGCTTAGTTAGTGCTATAAATGCGTCATTGAAACGGGTCTCCGAACCACACTGATCCCCGTGACACGCATGTACCTCTGGGGAACATTCTGTCGGAACGAGGTAGGAAAGCGGTGCTGCAACATGTGAACGTACGAAGAAGCGTGCCAATCTAGTGAATTTTCTCACCATTCTACCTAACCATCGTGGAGAACTGTGTTGTAGAGCAGCGGGATTCATCACCAGTCGTTCTTCATCAACCGGTCTTTTAGGTTCACTAGGTCTATCCTCAGAATCGGGTAACCGCGGTCTAGCGGAATCGTCTTCTTTTATGGTACTTACGCGTTTCCTACCGCTCGAACTGATCAAATGTTCCAAAGGATTGTTCAGCAGTTGACGCTCGATGCGATTTGATACACTCATATTCCCGTTTCTGTTTGGTTTTCTCGTGAGGCTTGGCGTCCTTTTTAATTCTGTTTGTTGCTTTCGAGTGCATCTGGCTTGTCTTTTTGGTTGCAGGATTGTCCTCTGATCTGACAACTGAGCGGATTTATTATACCGATTATTAGCACGTGGCCTTTCAACACAGGCTACGGTTTTCACCGATGATGAGGATGGTATTGTTACGTGATTTGAGTTTGATGCATGAACTGGTTTCGCAGAAGTCTTAGATTTTCTTTCCCGGTGGTTTGTTGAAAGTTGTTCGTCTTCTTCACCCGGTGCACTGTCCAAAGCGTTGTTATTAGATTCCTCAGTCCGAACAGTTTCATCCGGGTCATTTTCATTCTCAGTGTCACAATCTTCAGTCGTGTCTGTCTCTTCGCTAGTATTGGTGTTATCGTCCTCTACAGATGAATTGTCATCGGATTCCTCATTTTCTGTGTCTTCTCGAATTGACTCTCCCATAGTGCCTAATTCGACCAGACGAATTCGTGCATCGGACGGTGAAAGACTGGTCAAAGTGAGTAGCATGGATTGTGGTAATGAACTGATCACTACCGGGGAGTTGTTGTTCCCTATCCCGTGGGCTTGATTTGCCAGGAATGGATTTAGGAAAGACCGTAAGAAACTGTTTGTGGGCGTTTGTGAGATTTGATTCCAGTAACCTGGCGAAGAGAGACTTGAACTTGCTAAAGTTTGTGAGAGGCTATTTGTGCTATTAGGTTGACTAGATGATTCTCTACCGGGAATTTCGGTTGCGGCTGTCTCTGGCATGAGGTGGACAGCTTCGGATATATTATCATTGCTGTGGTCGTCCAAGTGCATATCCAAAATATCGGTTCTATCTTTGAATACAATAAATTCCAGTAAAAGATTGCAAGCATTCTTCAAATTTTCCAACGGGAAACCATAATATGAGTTGTTTGTTGAAATTTGATCCAATGTTTTTCGCATTGGATCGGAAAGCTCCAAAGTGCGATGATACATCAGTTTGGTTGAATAAGTCGGACTTTCTTTCTGATTCGAGCTGAATCTGAACGTACGCAGTTGGTCATTCACATCGAATTCAACATCACCACAATGAACAAGACAGAGACGGAATGAGATTTCCGAAGTTTGTTCCCATTTGCTTTTGATACAATAGTGCAAATCACCTTGCTTATGATCAACCGTAACATCCACAGTTATGCGCTTCAACCCACAACAACGAAACAGATTGCTTGTGCTCTGGTAAATGGCTCTCCCCTCACAACTTTCTGTCCCTGGTACTTCACGGGACACAGCAATTTGTCTACGAAATGCTTTCAAACCTCCAGATGATTTGGCCAGTTGTGCAAGCAATCCGCGTGGAAATTGATTTCTTTCAGATGTCCAAATTTGGTTTTGATGAAGAGCCGTAACCAGCAGAGGTTCTATTTCACTAATCGGTTTGTCTTTGTACGGGCAATGCTTAAAGTGCCCTTCAAGTTGGTTCCACTTCCCAAACCACTGACAACCGATGACACTGAATCGACACGTGACTGGTCTCACGGGGCACAATGTTGTTTCGTGTTGTTCAATTTGTTTCCGAACCATTCGTAAGCCACAGAATCGACAGTCAGACGGCAATTCCGATGCGAGCTGCTCGGCCAATAGACAACGGCGTAGGCCAAAATGAAGCGGAATGCGACAGCTTGGACAAACAGCATTCGAATTCGAGTGTTGTTGCAATAATCTTGTAACACAATGAATACAGATCAGATGTCCATTCGAGCATTGGTATGCCTGTTTTGGTATATCCAAACAAATTGCACAGGTTATCAATGAACGTACTGCCTCTTGGAGAGTTTGGTTTCCCTGTTCTTGTTCCGTATTCGGTATAACTGACTCTTTTACATTACTGGATTCACTCTCTACTGAATTGGGGCTTAGAGTAAGCGGGATTTCGGACACATTTCCAATAGTATATTGACTGGTTGGACTTTTTCTAGCTTGCTTACTGGGTGGTGGCATAGAATAAACATTCGCTTCAGTTATACACTGAAAGTTGAAGGGATGAAACTGATGAAATTTCTCCTTGTACACCGATTTGTCCAAATGACGCATTGCAGGCAAGCTGTCTGCTTTCGCAGCAGCTTCATATGATCACTGCATCGATCTATTTTATATGGGATGAGATTTTGAAATGCCGAGGTCAATCAAGAATAAAGAAGGCTTGCCATGTGATTCACGTTTGTTATACAGCGGATTTTCAAGGTTGGCTTAGTAAGGGGAAGAGGTCGTCGCCTGGGTCATAGATTTGGACTTATTTCTCCAAATGAAAAAAGACAACTGACTAGAACCGATCCACACAGACGTGATTGTTTGGTCCGTTATTCCCCCAGGTAGGTAAAAATAGAACTGATATGTCTGGCAATGAGCAAACACGGATTGTCATCTCATCGGTGTCTCAATAAGTGTCATCTTGAATCAGTTAAGCAATTACATGATCACTAAATCACCTATTTTCGAAGTAACAAATTTCATCGAAGCAGGAATTTGAGAATGGAAAAATCCGCTCTGAAAGTAAGCGTTTCCTGTAAGTTATTTGTCTGTTAGTACAACGCATTTCACACCACCTTTTCGAGTGAAAATTACACCCAAAATGGTTACGAGAAACTGTTTCGGTTCTTCCGATTGCTGCATTGTATTGTGTGGAACCTATGTGCGCACCATTATTAGATCCCGAGGAAAACACTTCCGATGACGGAGAAGAAAAATCCAGATGGTCAATAAAATCCGTCATCTTAATATAACTATCCAAAATCAAGGTATGTTTATAGATTCTCCGGCGTCTTTCCATTGCCGATGGGAATTCTCATTGAGTACAAACTATCAACTACTTTAAGGTACGAGAGATGTGAAGAATATATCCAAAATTTCATGAACTGTCCAGGCTGTGTCTGAGTTTATTATAAAAGTGGTAAATTGGTCTAAGGTTATTGAAATAGGATCTAAGACGGACGAGGCACGGTCTGTGATAGAAATACCACCCGTCGAATTGAACAAAAAGGTTACATAAGGACATTGATATATAATAACGATAAAGCATTGTTTCTTGACGAATGCCTCGTTTTCATCATCTTTTGTACAGTAATTCACACCAAACAGATGATGTTTAAGCGGTGGAAGCAAATAAACAAATCATCATATTTGATAGACGAAACGGAAAGTAGAATCATAATCAAACGAGCCTATCTCATCGACAAACAATGGACATACAAATAAGGACCAATGAAGAATTTACAGATAAGCTGCATGGGCTTGAATCCAACCGAGGACGCTGGTATTCGCACTGTTCGAATAAGTCACCCTCAAATGCCACAAAATCGAGTGCATGTTTTTCGAAACCAAAAGCCGTAAAGTGAAGGGGAGGCTAGTGTTGGGGTGTCGCGCTTTCAAACCTATGGTACCTGTAAGAGGAAAATGCAACTATGGAAAATGAGCGAGTTGTAAAAAATATATAAGTTTGTTCGGAATGGGGATGATTGTTATAGGCTGAGGCAATTAAGATCCAAGTCCGATTCCGAAAAATCGTTGAGCAGGCACTTTAGCAATCCACAGAAATCGCCTACTCTAAACTTGAAAGGGACAATCGATTCTAGCTATGCCTGAGTTTGAGAAAGTCGGTGGGTTTTATAACAGTTTCAGAAGAAAAAAGTCAATTTCGTAAAATCGGGATGTTCAATAGGTGGAATGTCATACGATTGCCAGAGTAAACGAGGATTCCAATCTTTTATATCTACAGACTCTCGATTATTTTCTTACGTCTCTTATTGATCTGTTGTACAGCATTTGTTTTCCGTTTTTCCCGATTAGTAAGTAACTTTTGTGTGTACATTAATAATGAAATGTTTACTATAAAGTCCTTAGGTTGTTACAGTTTTCGGATAACTGTGCCAAATCAAACTTACTAGATGATGCCAGCAAAGTGCCTACGCGTTACTGGTTCTAGACTACGAACCATAGGCCGATTGTACCAACTAATCATAAACCGTGCTACTCAGACAGAAGCTGTACTACTACGACAGGAATACGAGCATGCGATTGGCAAAGGCTTGGATGGCCAATGCATTTCTTTTGTACATATTATTTAAACCCCACGATTTATTTGAATAAATGAACTTCTATTCCTGAGTCCTTTTCCTTTCGTCTCGGTCACGTGGGATACCGTCGTGGAAGTGCCAGTGTGATCTAGTGCTTACGCAGCGTCCGTGATTCATAATCCATGATCCGTGCGTACTTCAACCGTTACACTTATTCACATATGGAGTTCAAGTATAAGAATGACAAAAAATATTACCGGATACGCATACCTGACAAGCGGTAAGAACCATGTAATCGGTCGTGTACTTCTGGGAAATTCGGTCCTTTTCATTCATATACTACTCATTCTAAAAACAGTAAATTAGCCCTGGCGTCGAGTTGGCTGAGGTCGACGTATCTAACTCACAACATATGACACAATCGTCACAATGATTATTCAAGACTCGTTTATCTTAAAATCCGCTCCTCAAGCTACGAATGAGATTCACGTTGCCTAACAAGACGTTGCACTAATTCACTTTAAATACTTTTCAAAACCTGGTGACCACTTCTCTGCTAACCGTTCTCCATCGTCGAACTTCTTTATGTCATCAACCGCTTCAGTTCCTTCACTCCATCAATGCAAATGAAAAACTTTCCCGGTATATGTACCCAATTAAAAATGTTCTCGGTTTATCCTACATTCCATATATTCTCAACAGAAGAAACAAATCAAATGTTCTCATCATTCTTTTAGAATTTCTGTGCTGTTGAAATTATCAAACTTTCGAGGAAAATACCTCGCCAGGGTGAACAAATTCAGTTAACTGCACGAAAATCGGGGATCCGTAATCTTCAACTGAGTTGGGATTCTGTGTGACATTGTTTTCTTCCTAAATCTGAATGTATGTGGACAATGAAACAAAGCAAATTACGGTGCACTACAAAGTTTGCCACAACACCAACAAGGTCAAAATATCGATAGTCGAAACTCCCAAGATTCCCACAAATCCTGCTATAATGGTTATAGCCTAAAAACCATATCACCTGTGATAGGTTATTTCTACTTCAAGCAAGATATCAGCAATTGAAGGTGGTGCATTGTGCTCTAATTTGATTAGAAACATAATCGGAGCTTTTATTCTGCCGAACAAGGCTGACTGTTTGAATCTATGAATAAAATAGGAAGAAAATACTGTTTTCTATGTGTATCCTTCTTAATATAATGTTTAACCGGCCTCTCGGTTCCCTCAAATGCATCACTCTGTCAATTAGTTCTTGATAGTATTGGTCATACCTTTCTGGTTACACTACAACCCACGGCAAATTGAGCATCTTTTTCGTTTTACAAAACCTTATAGCAGTGAACAAATAATTAACATTGTAAAGTTGACGAGAATGGGGAATTCTAATAATAGCGTCAAGCGCATAACGCTTCGGATCGAAAATCTCCTTATCTAAAAGAATTATGGGTATATTACTAAACAGACAAAGTCACAAGCACGGTAATCACCTACGCTCATCGTAAATGTAACCGCTCCGTTGATTTCTTCTCCGGTAGGTGAAACGAAGCTTGCAAAGTTGATGACCAGCATCGAAAGCAGCAAAAATAGTGATGTATTCATAAAGTACGATTAACAGGTAGAAACACGCCATGCGTTCTTCTCTAGTAGAGTTTATAGAGGATACCTTTCTTAGCAGATATTTTAACCCAGTGAAACGGTCAAGGAAAGGAACCGCGCTTGGCCGTGGGACTCTTCTAGAAGTAATCACAATTAAGTGTAAAATATGGATTATGTACTCGAGGAGATTCCTTTATTAGATGAGTGCTGAAGTAGGGGGTTAATTCAGAACAGTCGTATTTATTTAATTGCAACATTCATTTCCATCGTATGTTGCTATGGATTAGAGTGAAATATCAAGAGTATATATATATTTCACATACGTCTGAGGCGAGAGCAAATCACTTTTTCGTGTTTTGAAATCGAATATGCATCTTAATTTTTTCCAATGATGAAAACATCAGGCCCTCTGTTTATTAAAAAACCCTGAAGCTTTGGGCATTTTGCACATTTGGAAAACATCAAGAATTTTCTCGCACATAAGCTACATTATTGACTGT